CCCCCAGTTAACGTACGGCGGCACTTATTTATCTGTGATCAAGTATCCCATCTCCCATCTAGCTAAAACGTTTCGTTCTTCTTCTTTTCGTTCATTCATTCTCTTACTTTTTTATTCTCTCATCCATTCATTCATTCATTCATTCATTCATCCATTCAACAAAAAGAGACACGAAAAAGACGACAAAAACGACAGCTCAAGAGATAAATAAGGTAGGTAGGTACGCAGAAAAAAAAGAGAGAAAAAAAAAAAAAAGAGAGGGAAAATCTGACTTTGACTCCATCCATGCCCTATCCTATCCTATCCTATCCTATCCTATCCTATCCTATCCATACCATCCATACCATCCATACCTATTATCCATCCCGGTCCATCCCGGTCCGTCCTAAACCACGCACGCCATGCCATACCGTCATCATCTATCGTGAGCAAAACATCCCGTTCCCGTTCCCGTTCCGGGGTGGGTGAAAGGATTCCCGGATCGTCCATCTATTTATTTGACCTGCCCGACCGCGCGCAACCATGCATGCATGCCAATAAAAAAAAATAAAAAAATCAATCAATAAATCACGCAGCCCCTCCGATCCCCAACCCAACCCTCGAATTCGGCATGTGAGAACCCACGCTCGCCCCCCGCTCCCTCAAGCGTCGCCCTTCCATCAGCCCCCTCAGTCCTCTCTTCTGCAACCCAATAACAGCGCTGACGTCGCCCTTCCAAACCTCCTTCTCGCCCCGGCTATTCCGCTGCTGGCCCCCCGCATCAGACGTGCTGACGCTGCCGCTCGTCTCCGACTCCGAGACGTCGCTGGTCATGCTACTCGCCGAGCTCATCTCCTCCTCGTCAGGCTTTCTTCCGCCCCCCACGGTGGTGTTGATGCGCAGCCCAGCCGGCGGGGCTCTGGGATCGAATCCTAGAGAGCCGATGTGCAGCATTGGCGGGACCGCGGACGAGTCCTGGTCGGGGACATCTTGGAAGTCGGGGGAGAGCCAGTTCTCGCCTAGCCCGGAGAGGGTGCTGGTTGAGCGGCCACCACCGGCTGCCATGGCGGAGGCGTTAAAGACTGCGGCTGCGTTTCGCGAGTCGAGGATTTCGTGGAGGCGTTCGACAACGGCCTCAAGCAGGCCGTCGATCTTGTAGGGGCGGGCGATTTGGAGAAGGGAGCAGAGGATCTGAGGGGAGCAGTGGGGAGAATTCGAGAGCGGAAGGGCGGAGGTGTATATATAGTGGAGGAGGGCTTTGACGGTCAATTGGGTATGTGGTAGATATAGAGTTCGAGGTCGCGAGGTGGGGGACAGTTTGCAGGGCTCTGGAGGGAAGGAGAGTTCTGAGACGTCAACTGGAGCCTGGGTGCCGGAAGATACTGATGCAGATGTGCCGTGAGAGGTCGTAGCAGTACTCAAACCCGAAGATTGAGCACCAATACTGGGAGTGATAGTAACGCTACTATTCCGGCTCGGGTCATGCCGAAAGAGGTGATCAGGTCTGAAACTGGCTGCATCGTTGCCATCTTGGGTCGCACTTCCTTCCCGAAGAAGCTGCACAAAGTATGGTCCCCAACGCCGAGCGACAACCCGAGAGTTCACCGGGATCCGCTCCCCCCCTTGGCAAAGGATATCCATATCACACAGTTCTCTCAGCCCAAGAGCAGCGAGGCCAAGCTCTTCGGCAGCCCTCGACAGAGACCGGCCGCCTGCAGTGCAGCCGGCTCTCGTAGCGAGACTCAACGACGGCGCCGTATACGGAGAGCTGGCGGAGATGAAGCCCGACATGGGCGCTGCTCTCCGGGGGTTGTCGTACAGTCCGAAGGCTTCGAGCTCGACCATACAGACATTGCTGAAGTTGATACGACGATGATTGTAGTCTTCGACCAGACTCCGCTTACGGTTGCCCAGAATGACGAATGTGTTCCTCCGGCTCCAGAGCACACCGCGATTCCAACTGCCTTGGCTGAAAACGCTACCTCCGGCATCGATCCGATTCCAGGTCAAGGTCTTCAAATCTAGTGCCCACAGCGCGTATTCCTGTTTTGACGACGTGAGATAGGTTCCACTAACGACAAAGTTTGTATCAATCACACCACCGTTCGGGAATCGAAGACCGGGAGGCGAAAAAGTGCCCTGCATCGGCTTCTCTGTCAATGTCCCATCTGCTGACCGTATCTGCAATTCCAACTTCACATCCAAGAAGTTGTAATTGGAGTATATCAGCATCGAAGATCCCGGATCGTTGGAATCCGGCATGCCCATATCCGTCCTTGTAGTCGGGCTCTTCCCCAACCTCGAAGTGACGCTGGCTGGCAAGGGCGCGACAACGCTGCGATAAGCCCCACAACTTTTTCCGAGCTGTTGCGTGCTGGTCCACTTGAGACTTCGGAGGTTGAAGACACTGATCTGCTCGATGTAGTGGTTCGCGCTGTCTTGCCCGCCGACTACAACCATCTCTGCACCTCCCGTCCCGTCCAGATTCACCCCTAAAGTTCCCTGGTTGGGGTTAGATCCAGGTAAGTTGTGCTGAATAGCGGAAGAAGCTGCGTTAGTAGATGAAAACGTCGCCGATGACGGAAGTATTGTCGCGCAATGGGCATATCTCCCTTGTGGCGTATCCTGAGTGGGGATGAACGTCCAGGTCTTGGTTGGTGCATCGTATATATAGATATCTGACATGACAACCACTTCTGGCTGTGCGTCTTGAGCCTGTGACGAGGCCACTGCCTGCACCTGTCCTTGCGTTGGTGCCGGAGACATTCCACCGTAGCATACCAGCTTCGTATCCCCCAACGGACAAACGCTATGAAAGTATCTTGGAGGTGGAACTTCTCCAGCAGCATCAATCTTTGTCCAGTGCCGCCTGATGAGATCCAATTCGTACAAATCCGCCGTCAAAACAGGCCTTGACCGAGAAAGTATCCTGCCACCCAGGACGTATAGCCTGTCCCCCAGAATCGTCGTTGTGGCTCCGACCAGAGGCGGCGGCTCTTTGCCTGTAGTCCGATGTACATTGCACATGAGACCCGACAGGTGCTGGGAAGATCCGCCCGGAGTTCCAACCGCGTTTCCTCCAGCCGATCGTGGTTGAGCTGGCGAAGGGCCGGCAGAGGGTGGTCCATTACTCCGAGGAGTCAAGATATCTCTCGTCTCGTCTTCCGCCTCCGACTTGGAGCCGTCCTGCTTGCTCGAGCTCGCACTACTCTGACTGCTTATCATATCCGAGAGGTGAGCACCCGATGAAGGCTTGGACCCACTGGCGAGGATCTGCGACTGTCCAGTCCCTGACGTCGACGAGTCCATCGTACTCGTCCGGCTGTCATTCGTCTGCCGTGACGTGGAGCCGGCTGCGCCTGGAAGGTCGAGGGGTTGATGGTAGTGGAGGCTGTTGAGGAAATGAGGGGTCTGCAGCAGCTCCTCGACGGGCAGGGCGGACGGCGTCCGCGGCAGGGGCTTTTCGAGAATCGAGTCGCTGGCACTGGGCGCATGTCTCTTCGGACGGCGATAGCCGTTTCCGGCGGGCTCAGGAGATGGGGAAGGGTTCAGCGTCGTCGCGGAGGGCAACATGCGGTCGTGGACCTGGATGTTCGCAGGTCGGTTGTGCTGGCCCGAGATGGAACCCAGTTTCTTTATCCCCCTTCGCACGCCTGAGAAGAAGTCGCCCCTGTCGTGGCCGGAACGCAGGTCGGGCGAGGTGGACACGTCGCCCTCGTCTTCGAACTTGGCCTCGAGCGCGCCTTGGGGCCGCAGAGTCAGCCGGTCCGCCATGATCAACTCATTCTGGGGAAAAGTGGGTGGAATTGGGAAGTGGAAATGCTACGGGTAATGGAAGAGGAGGAGGGCGGACGATGGGGTCGTGGGAAGGGCGCACGTAAGTACGTAAGGATGGAGCAGTAAGAAATAGGCAGGGTGAGAGGGGATCCTGAATGGGGGAGGATAGGTAATTAGGGAGGGATAAGGGATGTTGTGGTTAAATGGAGAAAAGAGGTCACGACAAAGTGAAAGCTTCGAGTACGTACGTACGTACCTACTACCTACTACTGCTGGAGAGCGGATCTCTGTGAGGGCAGGGCACACTCTATCTCGGGTCGAGTCAAGGCTTTTTTTGCTCGGCCAGGATTTGGAACACGGGAAAGATCAGCCGCGATGCGCAAAGGTAAATAGACAGACAGACAGACAGACAGGCAGGCAGGCAGACAGACAATGTCAATAATGCAGGGCCTCTTCCGCCGGGAATCCCCGTTTTCTGGCACAGTTTCGTAGGGGAGCGAGTGTGAGACATGGATATAGATTTGGGTACCGGTATATAGTAGTACATAGGAGCCGCAAATACCACTACAACTACTCTCCGTACATACATAAACTTCGAGCGCAGTGCTGTGGGCGGTATCGAGATGTTCTCTCCATGATAATGAAAACCATTATTCCGTAAGAGAATGGAGTCATATTGACCTTTGGTATGATCTCTCTACACTGTCCAGCATTCTCCCGTGTGCTATATGTTATGTGGTCTGCACTCATCGTTCTCCGAGCTATCTACGTTGTACCTCGCTCTTCGATCCCGATTCCACACCCGAGTCAGCCGCCTCGAAAATCCAAATAAATATAAATAAAACCCCAACGGCATTCAGCCGTGACAGATTTAGTCCGTGGGAAAAAAGTATGATTTATAAATTGATTCATGTTTATTTTTCTGCCCCTCCCCCCCCCTTGAACCCCTTTGTCAAACGCCAACCCCCTTCCCCCTACTTATACTCTGTGCGGAAGTCAAGGTAATCCCTGCCCCTCCCACGTGTCCCTCTTCTTCCTCTCCTCTACTTACTGTAGATTGTATCTACCGGTATTATGCCAAAGCAGACCTGCAATGCACATTGCAGTTTCCAGTATTATAACCCTACACCGCACGACCATATCCTTCACCCGGTTCCTCCCCGGTCTGCGCCCTTGCTTTGTCTCCTTTTCTGGTCCAGTTGCAACACAGTACGACGTACGTAGTAATTGGGCATTGAGCACACGCCCGGATGGCTTCCGGAGGCGAAATGAAAACAAAGCGAAAGCCAAAAACAAAACATTCCACAAGCGAGATATCGTAAGCGAAGACTGGTTCTGAGGGGTGTTTTTCATTCATCCATTTACTTGTATGCAGTATGGAAATGCGCGTGTCATGCAAGAAGCCTGCCTGCCTGCCCACCCACGCCCTGACAGCATGCTGCGGAAGTCGCAAGTATTCGATCCCTGTCTCCATCATCGCCTCTCGACCATGGAACCAGCATCCCCTTGCACCGCCCCCGGGCCCATCCTCTCTACTCCCTCCCCTAGGTAGTCCTTTCCATCACCAGCACCAGCACCACCGCCACTCTACTCTACTCTACACAGCAGTCGTCTTCTCCTTAGGCAGAGGAGTGAAGCGGAGGTACGGCTTGACGATCCGGAAGTCCGGGAAGAGCGTCTTGGCCTCGTCGTTCTTGACACTGGGGTGGACGATGACGTCATCGCCGGGGATCCAGTTAATCGGGGTGGTGATGCGGTACTTGTCGCCGGTCTGCAGGGAGTCGACGACGCGCAGGACCTCGGCCGTGTTGCGGCCCGTCGAGGCCGGGTAGGAGAGGATGAGCCGGATCGTCTTCTTGGGGTCGATAATGAAGACAGAGCGGATGGTGAAGGCGATACCCTTGGCATCGACGTTCGTGGTGTCTTGGTGGTCGAGCCTGGCGAGAGGGTTCGGAGTCAGTCTTCACATCGGAGAGGTGCCCGCATGAGGGGGGTGGGGAGGGGATATGAGAGAGGAGGCCTTACATGTCGTAGGCGTACGCCACCTGGCGCTGCTTGTCACCAATAATGGGGAAACTCAGCTTGCTGCCCGAGATCTCGTCAATGTCCTTGATCCACCCTCCGTGGCTCTCGACGGTGTTGGCCGACAGGCCGATCAGCTTGACGCCACGCTTGGTGAACTCGGGCTCAAGCTTCGCGAAGGCCCCCAGCTCGGTGGTGCACACGGGTGTGTAGTCCTCGGGGTGGGAGAAGAGCACCACCCACTGGTCGCCGATGAATTCGTGGAAGTCAATTGGGCCCTGGGTCGTCTCGGCGTGGAAATTGGGCGCGATGGAACCCAGGCGGAGACTGCGTGGGCGCACGAGTTAGCTAGTTGTATCGAAGCAGTGAAGAAGTAGGGCTGGCTCGAGCAGCATGGCCTGGTCCATGTGAATTGCTGTGTTCCCGAATCTGTGGTCTGGCTGCAGACGCTGATCCACGGCGTAGATGGAAGAGCATGATGATGAGGATGTTGTTGTTGGTGGTGGTGGTGGTGGTGGTATGCAAGCATGGCGGGGTAGATGTTCTGGGGACGGGGACAGCAGACGTACGGAGTAGATCTTGGTTCAGCCATGTTGAAGAAGTTTCGAGGATGTGATTGGGGAAAAGGGGATCACGTTGAGAAGCGTCGAGTGAGTTGTAGTTGTAGTTGTAGTTGTAATTGTAGTTGTTGTTGTTGTTGTTGTCGTTGTCTTTGTTGTTGTGAAAGGGTGGGGGAGGGGGGCGGGGAGGAAGAATTTACAGAAGAGAGCTGCTGGTGGGGGAGGGGCGGAGGGCCAGATTTATTATCCGGCTCACACCATCCATTGATCGATCACACAATTCCGGGACTGGTATCTTTGTAGGTGCCAGAATCATCATCATCCCCCTCGCCGAGCACGCCATGGCCAAGAGGCGCGTAGATACTTCATTCTCATTTGCTGCAAGAGCAAATAGTCAAATAGATGGGGATCAAGGAAAACCTTCAGAGTGAATAGGTACGTAGTACCTACCTAATACTACCGGTACCGGTACCGCTATGTAGTCGGCGTCCAGAGGACAACACCGGTAGATGCCATCAAGGAGCCCCACCTTCGCCTCGTATTCGGATCCATATCACGGGTCACGGGATCGGGATCGGGCTATCTCATTGCTACATCACCACTTTCATGTCGTTTGTATCCCATCCATCCATCCATCCATCCATCCATCCATCTCTTTGCCAGCGCAACATTTCCATCGTTACTAAGGCTTCAGAGCTGAACATGTGATAATGCACATGCATCTTTACAGCTACCTATTAACCTAACATGCATCGTTATAGCTATTAACTTACACAGAAGCCCTGCAGGTACTTGGTAGACGAGTTGTCTCATACCATGCCGGTGAGAGCATGAAATGGAGTTTTCCATGACCAACCTGCCAAAGGTCCCTTGATGTGTCCCACCCAGCGGCATCCATTGAAGGGTTGTTATTGTTGTTGTTGTTGTCGTTTTTGTTGATGATAACGGCAGATAGCAAATGCATCGGACCGCAATCATCGGGAATCAACCCCCTCGGACTCGGATTTCTCTTTCAACCCAATAGGACGATCGAGCGAGGCAAATCGTGACAATGAGCGGCCACCAGACTAAAGCCGGCCTTAGTTCCTTGCTTCACTTGCCGTGCCTGTGCCTGGTTCCTGCTGCTGTAGGACGTCGGTGGCTGGACTAGCCCTCCTTGTCGTCACCACACTAGCTTTTCCCGATACTTGAATGTTCCATGTCATTCCTTTGGGGCTCGTCAGTGAGTGAGAACAATATCTATTGATCGTGTGACTTGTGCAGAGACCAAACGGCTACTATGGCTGCCCCAGAGATCCATCTCTCGCCGCCAGACCAGGACGACGACAAGAAGGGCCTCGACGGGGACCCGGACCCGGACCCGGACCCGGACCCGGACGAAGAAAACAAACAACCGTATACCAAAGACTCATCGTCAGCATTACTAAGGCTCAAGGAAGACAACAACAACAACAACAACAACAAAAACAACAATACTACTCAAATTTCGCTGGAAATCAATTCACCCATCACCTATCACTACCTGACATTTGGGACCACGCTTCCCTCCCCATCAACGACCTTCTCGCCGGATGATACACCACCACCACCGCAGCCAGACCTCATCAGATTCACCTCCCCCTTCGAATGGCCCGAATCCCGCAAGAACTTCATGCTCGGGCTCTCCTGCATCGCGACAGCGGTAACAGCCTACATAGCTGGCTCCTACTCAGCAGCTTCCTCCGACATGGCGGCCGAATGGCACGTCAGCGAAGTCGCCATCGTCGTCGGCATCACGACCTTCTGCCTTGGCTTTGCGGTCGCGCCCATGGTTCTCGCACCCTTCTCGGAAATCAACGGACGCTACCCCGTGTTTGTTGGAGCCGGAACCCTGTTGTTCATCAGCCAGATTTGCTGTTCGGTCACGCATAGCTATGCCGGCATGCTCGTAGCGAGATTCTGGACGGGCGCCGGGGGGTCCGTATTCTCGACGATGGTAGGGGGTGTGGTGAGTGATCTGTACCATGCAGAGGGGAGAAACACGCCGATGGCCTTGTTCTCCGGGGCCGCGCTATTCGGGACGGGAATGGGGCCTCTGGTGTCGGGCTTTTTGGCCGAGAACACGTCGTGGAGAGTGAGTGATCCCGAAACCGAGAACGAACTTGGTACCTAGTCGCGAACAGTCAGCTCGCTTGATGATTGTCTACAAGTATATCTGATATGGAAAGACGCAGCTGACGTTCGTAGTGGGTGTTTTGGCTCCAGGTGATCACCTGCGGCATTCTCATCACAGCCGTGACCCTGTTCTTCAGCGAGACCCGCGGCGGCATCATCCTAAGCCGCAAAGCCCGCTGTCTTAACAAGTGGTACGAAGCGCGAGAGGCAGCCGGATACATCGGCTTCGACATGCCTCTCGGCGGCTCCCAGGAGTTCGAAAGCCAGCGCATCAGGTGGAGGGTCAAGTCCGACGAGGAGCGCGAGTCTATCACCAAGATGATCGGGATCTCAGTCTACCGACCATTCCACCTCTTGTTAACCGAGCCAGTGGTCTTCTTCTTCTCGCTCTGGGTGGCGTTCGCCTGGGCTGTCCTGTATCTGACCTTCGGCTCCATACCCCTCGTATTCCGCACCTCCCACGGCTTCACGGTCCAGCAATGCGGCGCCGTCTTCTCTGCCACCTGCGTCGGTGCCATCCTCTCCACCATCCTCTCCATCTACCAAGACCGCCTGCTCGCGCGCTACCTGAGCTCCACCTCGGCGAGGGGTGTCCACAAGCCCAGCCGCCTCTGGCGCAGCCTCGACCTCCACTCCCCAGAAGGCCGCCTGTACTTCGCCTGCGTCGAGAGCGCGCTCCTCCCCGTGGGCCTCTTCTGGTTCGGCTGGACCCAGTTCCCCTCCATCCCGTGGGTCGTGCCCGCCATGGCCGTCGCCTGCGCCACCATGGGCATCTACTCCATCTACCTCGCCACCTTCAACTACCTGGCCGACTCGTACCACCGGTACGCCAGCTCGGCGCTCGCCGCGCAGTCCTTCTGCCGGAATATCCTCGGCGGCGTGTTCCCGCTCGTGACGGTGCAGATGTTCACCGGCCTGACGTTTCAGGGGGCCGCGAGCCTGCTGGGCGCGCTGGCGACCTTGTTGACCGCCGTGCCGTGGGTGCTGGTCTTCTACGGGCCGAGGATCCGGGCGCGGAGCAGGTTTGCGGGCGAGAATATGTGAAGGGGTTTCGGTTTTGGAACGAGGGGGATTTTTCCTTCGCCCAAATTCTGATCAGGGAAGAGAAAACGGAGCGAGGTGAACAGGTGAACCGAGGAGGACAAAAGGAAAGAATGAAAAGAGATAATTGGCAGTGATGAGTTTAAGACTGCCGAACCGAACTGAAACGAAAACACCGGGAGTATAACCAACCAGCCAACTAACCAGTAAGAGCATTCTCCGCTGGCCTACTCCACTCGACTCTGGAAATTCAAACCTAGGGACCTTCTTTTGGGTGCTTACTGTTATGGACGGAAGGGTACACCCGTCGAATCATTCGCGAAAGCGTAGGTACCTACGATATAGACCTAATGAGGATCAGGATGGGGATTGGGATGAGGATGAGGATATATGTATTTATATATATGTATTTACCTATATATACAACATGTACAAAGGATCGACGGCGAAATGGAATACCGGTAGATGGAATAAACGCCATTCATTCATTCATTCATTTATTCAGTCACTTATCTAATCATTTATTCATTCACTCATTTGATTTACTTCAACCTGATTTGATTTGAAAATAAAAGAGATAAGAAAAGATGAGAAGAAGAAAAAACAAGAAAGTATAAGAAAAGATAAGAAAAGACGAGAAGACGAGAAGAAAAGATACGAAGAGATAAGAAGAGATACGAAAAGATAAGAAGAGATAAAGAAAAACCTGAAAAGATAAGAAGAGAAGAGAAGAGAAGAGAAGAGAAGAG